AAAAATAATAATAGTAGTAACAATGATTGGTATTTTACTATAAAAATAACTCATTTTATTAAGTAAAATAACAATTTGACCTGAAATAATTAATAATTGTTAAAGAATACTAGTATATTTTCTCAATTTCCACAAACCACTGCAGTGAAAATTAGATTTGCAAATTTTTCTCTAAGGCTGTATTTTTACTCTTAAGAAAAAAATGACTTTAGTTTCTAAAATTGAGGGAAGAGTGGTAGAAAGCACATGCCTAAAAAAAAGAAAAAATTCTCACCATACACATTAATTCTGTTGAGCTCACAGTTTCTCTTTGAACATATACCAAATCACTTTTCTGGACTTTTTCTCAAACAAAGTGCCAATTTATATACCTGCACTTTTATTAATCCGCTCATCTGTCCTAGAGAGGGAGTACCTTTCTTTACTAAACCCAAAATGTGAGGTCTGCATTTGGCACGAACTCTCCTGTCTAAGTAGAGAAAGAACAACCAGGTGTATCATTCTTATCCTAAAATTCTGAATATGGAGTTTTGAAACCAGGAGCATATAATTACTCTGTGGTGCTGAGCCTGTCTTAGTGTATATGTGCAAATGTTGTATTTTAAAGGGCTGTAATTTGTGTTTAAGGATGTGCTCTTTGTGAATAAACATGGCAGAACTCCTCTAAGCTAAAGTATCACTCACCTCTCTTTTACACCACTAACACATTCATAAGACAAATTCACCAATAGCAACTTTATATTCCCTTGACTTTACCATTATCATAAAATGTGATGAAAGATGGACTTTATGATAGCACATAGGTAGAATTCACTGACAGTTTACCTCAATACATTTATTCCCTACCCTGTTTTCAATGGACTTTTCATCTCGGGTAACTTTACATCTGTGGAAAAATTATAACAATGATATTGAAAATTCCCATGAATGTCTACCCAACCCCCACACATAAGGATCTTGACTGAATGTGAAATACCTGCTCCAATTTATAAACTAATATTTACCCATTATTATTAATTTTAGAAGCTGTGCTTCTTTATAGTGGTGCATATTAAAAACTAAGAACTAGGCAGCAGGTATGTTCATTGTCCCACTGTAATAGTCAAGAATATCAGGGTATAAATTATTAACCTGTGCCCTATGGGAAATTATTACACTAATTAAAGTTCCTTGTTTACCATGGCCCATTTTGCCTTTTTACTAAAAACCCTATATATTTCCAAACTTACTTAGGTCAGCACACTATTTTTCACAGACCAAGCATTGATGTAGTTCATAGTACACTTGCATTGGATTTGTTATAGGATACATTTTATCCCCCTGCCTCTTCCATATTTTTAAAAGAAATGCATAGACTATTTTATGTGAAAATTGTAAACCTTGGGAGACAGACAGATACCTCAGTAAAGTACTTGCTATGAAAACATGAAGAGTTGAATATAATCCTCAGGACCTATGTGTAAAATCTGGATGTGAGCACATGTGGGTCAACTCTAACACTTGAGAGACACTCAAAGGCTGATTCCTGGAGGCCAATTAGTGAGCTCCCGTTTCAGTGAGAGACAATGCCTCAAAAGCTAACAATGAGGACAATGGAACAATTTGCTTAAAGACAATCTCTGTCCTCCATGTATATACTCACATATGTGCATGTGCAGTCACACACATATATGACTGTGGACAAAATATTCAGAGAGTCATGGCAGAATTACAACATTATGTGTCCATTGTTAAATTATACTATATTCAAGACCTATGTCTTTTGGAATGAGGTTTAATACACCTCAGGAGCATTTGCTTGTTATGAGCAGGTCTCATGATTAAAAAAAAATTCCTGTACTTTATTTCATCAGTCATACTCCCCTGACTTGAACTCCTGGTAGAAAGTACAATCATGTTTTGTCAAATATTAGTAAGGGTTTTTTTCTTTTTAAGAATATGATGGGAGAATTTATATGCTGGTAGCCACTGTAATAACCATTTTAATTACAGGACCAAGACTGAGGGTTTATCTAGGTCTTCTTATAGTTCCATAACTTCCTATTTCTTTTTAATGAAGCTATTCCATTGTAGAGATACACCACAATATATGTGCCCATTTTCTAGCAGAGGATATCTTGGGTGCTTCCCATATTTGACAATAATATAGAAGGTTGCAGCCAACCATATGCTTATATTTCTACAGGAATATCCTTTCAGGTACTGGGAAATTGAAATCAAATATGCCTTGATCTTCTTCCTAGTCTCCCTTCTCTTTAGCCAGCTGCAGTGGCTTTGTGTGCAATCCACCCATGGTTTCAAACAGCTCTATAGATGGGCATCGCTAGACACTTGACCTATCATTTTCATTCACCACACAGCACTCAGGTGTCTGGATCCAACCTTTTTTATCCTGTTCATTGTTTAGTAAATCACAGTGACTCCCTGCCAGATTTATTTGTGAAATAATTCCCCATTGGTCTGGGCTGTGTTGGGAAGATTTTCTTCCATCAAGATCTCTGAAACTCAATGGTCCTTGATTGCTAAGTGTTGCATGACTTTCCCAAAGAGACATGGATGAGTTCCCATTGGCAGACCAAGGACCAATTCTATTCAAGACTAATTTGTTGAACCAGTTAGTTTATTGACATTGTTTATAGGAGGATGGATTTAAACTTTCAAAAATGTGTACTTTTCAAAAGAATCCATTCCAGTTTTTTTGGTGACTTCTTAACAGGTACATAGGCAGAGTCTCCCCTCTCAATCAACCTTATTGCCTAAGTAAATTCTGGAACCATCTGAGATTATGGAGTTGGATCAAGACTGTACAGCTTTATAGGGGGCAAAAGTGAATGAGTGAGTGGATCTCTGGTGAGCTTAGAGAGACCCTTGCTCATGTCCCATGAGAAAATGTTTAATCTTTTAAAGGTTTTCTTACAAGGTTCAGTTATGGCTAATCAGAGAATCTTTGATTTAAAGATGGTGCGATCCATGCCAGCCCCAGGGGACAGTGCTGCATTACCTCAAAAGGACAGTGCTCCATTACTTCAGGAGAACAGTGTTCCATTACATCAGTCCTCCCAAACCTCCCTCCTGTGTTAAATTTCTCTATGGAAGCAATAACATCTACTGTTCAGGCCCAAGCATTGAAAAACTCCAAACAACAACTCAAATAAAGTTCACCTTAGTGAACTAATGTGTATATTGAACTTACAAAGCATTTTTGGGACTTGCTCATAGACAAAGGACCAACCCTAAAATAGCTGATTCATTACAAAATCTCACCACAATATTAGTGACAATCTCATAGAAGCCACATCCATAAATCTTATAAATAACCTTCTACTTCTACAATTCTCAAGACCGTTTACTGCTGGAGAAGGGAAATGAGGAGTTGTAGCTTTAATTGCAGGTGTGCATTTCTCCTTTTGTGATAAAACAACATTACCAAAAGCAATTTGTAGAAAGAAGAATTTATTTTTGCTTAAAATTTCAGGGAGATAAAATGGAGGGAGACAAGAAATTAAACATAAGACAAAGCTGTTAACTCTCAAAGTTCACCACCAGTAGTATACTTCTTCCAGCAAGACTCTACCTCGTAAAGGCTCTCCAACCTCTCTAAACAGAGTTACCAGTGAAAGGCCAGCTGTCTGTGGACCATCTCCCATTCAAGACCTCATATTCCTTTCTCTGCCATTGGCTCATTGCAATATCACAGTATAAAATGCATTCAGTTCCTTTTCAATAGCTCCCATATCTTTTCATAGGCACAACACTATTTTAAAGTCTAGATTGTCTCCAAGAAAAATATCAAAATGAAATTTTATATTTCTACAGAATCTATATTATAATTCTAAAAGGAAGGGATGGGGACATATTGGGAAAATACTGGACCAAAGCAAAGCAAAACCTCAACAAGGCAAATACCAAATACTGTACCTCCATGTTTATTATTAACTGACCTAGCTAGCTCTCTCTACTCAAGACTTGTTATCTACAACTTGCAACTTTCTACTGTGCTCACTGTTCTCCCTGTGCCTAGCTCTCCTTAACGGATGTCTCATGGCTCTATCATCTCCAATAATCAGTGTCTGGACTGCAAAACAGGCTTCACTTTCACAGCTTCATAACTTTTTTGTCTCAGCTTCCTGCCCTGTCAGTGCTTTGATGTAGGGACTCCTTAGACACATATTTTCTGGTCTTAGAAGATTTGTAATCTATAGAGGAAGAATGCTTGACCCCTTCACTCTTGCATTTTTTATTACTCAAAATACAGACACAGTACTATATTCAAGATACTTCCAAGTTTAGATGCCAGGTAGGGTTGGTCCCTTATACCCTTGAATCACAGTAGAACGGGTCCCTTTATTCAGTTGCTTTCTTGGAAAAGAAAGCCCCTAAGACTTTCTTTCATAATTTGGAAACACAGATGGGTGGGATCTTGCCCTGAGGATACCCTTCCCTTTGTTACAGTGCAAAGCAGGGCTTCTCTTTAACTGTGTTTGCCTACTTATCATTTACAACCTCTATTTCAGCAATATTAAGATTCACACTGCTCTTTGGTCTCTCCAAACTGTAAATTTTGTGTTCCCTTTTCCTGTTCTTGTTCTTTTTCTGCTATAGATTGGCATAAGCATTATTACTAATATTCATGCACAGATTCAATACTATGTAGTCTTCAAATGTCTTCCTGTCAAAGCAGTACTGTACATTGCTATTTAGCTTAGCCTAGAGCAAGTTCTTAGAACAAGTGCAGAAAATATCCCCATTGTTTGTCATACCATCACAATGTTGGCATCTAGCCCAGTTACTAAGAGAGACTTCATTCCCTTCTGAGAAACTTCATGAGCTTGTTCTCTATCATTCATGATACTCTCAATATAGCTGTACCCAAGTGTCTTACCAGAACGGTTTATGAGATTCAGCTTACAGCACTCAGCTGATTTTATTGTCAAGGTCCCAAAGCCTTCCACTTTCCAAACAAACAAACAAACACACACAAAATAACCGATGGCCAGATTCTTTATAGCAGTAGTCAACTTCCTAGTACTATCTTCTTTATCAGTTGTTTTTCTATTGCTATGGTAAAATACCATTATCAAAATCAACTTCTGGATCTCTGGAGAAAAGAGGTTATTTTGGTTTACAGTTTCAAAAGGACAGTCCATAATGACAGGTGGAAGCACAGCAGCTGGCTTCAAGAGCAGGAAGCTGGGAAATCACATATTCAACCTGCAAAGACAGTAAACTGGGTGATGTACTTTCTCTATCAAGGCTCTACTTCCTAAAGTTCTAGAACCCTCTCAAACAGTATCACTCACCATGTACCAAATGCTTAATTCAAATAGGTGAGCCTGTCAGTAACAGTTGACAGTCTAACCACTACACCAAGTGTGATCATTAATTTCAATTGTCACTTTGATGAGATTAAGAACAATCCAGGAGAGGAACCTCTGGACAAGTCTGAAAGGAATTCTTTTGATGAAGATAATTGAAGTGGGGAGGTCTTCCTTCTGTGAAGTTGACATTTTATGGAGTGGGATTCTGGGAAAAGGAGCTGAGTAGGAGAATGCATTCATTTTTCCATTTCTTGAGTGAAGAAACAATGTGATCAGATTTGTCAATCCCTGCCTCCACAACTTCCTTACCATGACGAACTGTAATCTTGAACTAAGCGCCAATATAAGCCCTTATGTTATTTTTCTCAGCAGTGATTTATCACATCAAGCAGCAAAGTAGCTAGAACAATAGACAAAGGTTCTGAGACCGTATTGTACTTCCTTCTACTTGGAAGTAACAATGACTTCATTACCATTATAATAGACTTAGCTATCTCTGTATTGCTAGGTTAGCTAATTCCCAAGGCTGCTAGATCAATGTTATCCTAAGAGAGCAATCATATTATGCACTACAATATTTCTAGATGTTGTATTTTTATTTCTTATTGTCTTTTACTCTGTTCTTTACTCCAATCAATTTGATGGCATTTTTCTTCCTTTGTCATCAAGCTTCATCCAGTTATTCTTGTGAGTGACAATGTTTTGGACCCTAATCTTCCATAAATAATACATTTTTTAGATACAACTCTGAAAGAAGGAAACTCTACCTTCTCATTGCTTGTGCCACTTTTTCTTGCCCTGACAATGTGATTTTCCATGCTTTTTAGTTTTCACAATAGTAGACCTGATTAAAAGTTCATAAAGTGCCTATAATCACCTGAGTAGTCTCAGAAGTGTACACAGCCTACAGAAGTTTCATGATTTGGTGTTTCTTATATAAAATGAACTTATTATTTCACTTGGTAAGATAACAGAGAAGTCAAATATGCAACCCTACATATACAATAAATAAACAAGTAAAGTGAATGAAATAATAAAGCAATAAAATTTTAAAAGAAAGAGCTCAGCTAGTAAAGCTCTCGTTTTAATAGATAAATATTATTATTTATTATATATTTAATTTCTTTTCTTTTCTTTTTTGTTTGTTTCTTGAACAGGGTTTCTATGTCCTGAAACTAGCTCAAGTACACCAGGTTGACCTTGAACTCACAGAGATCTGCCTGCCTCTGCCTCCTGAGAACTGGGACTGAAGGCATGAGTGACCACCACCCAGTCCTAACCAAACTCTTACTCAATAGGGCAATCTCCCACAGTGACCCACTTGAACACCCATTTGTACCACTAGTTCAAACCTTTCTCCAGCTCCCTCTCTCTACATATATCCTTTGTTGAAGTTGGTGTCAGTGACATTTATTTCTGGTTAAATGAGCACTCACTCTATGCCTTGTATGATGAGATGTGGTTTAGCATAATGTGTATTTGATATGATTGTTATAGTTCTATGTACAGGCAAAATAACTCTCAGCATCAAACACACATTATGTAAACTGTCCAAATAACATTTATTAAGTCAAATACCCACAGTATTAGTATATGAAAGGAAGGCTATCTTTTTATATCCCCACAATATAAAGTTTCCCATGGGCACCTTCTAAACAAACTACTTGGAAGGGTAGCATTGTTGCATCCTCGGAGGGCAGGGTATAACTTCCTGTCATAAGTGAGGAGGTAGCAGAGGGTCAGCTGGGAATCAGACTTTAGCAATTTCCTGACAAACTTCTTGACTCTTCTTTTCTGCTGGAGAAGATGGAGGACTCCCTAAAGATGCCAGTACCTGTGAGGTAACTGTGGGATTTTTTTGTGACCATCATTCAATCCTATGGCAGTGTTTAGATGTGACTTGACATCAATGGACTCCTTACAAATCTTTGAACTGATTGTTTTCTTTTATGTTGAATACAGTGATTAGCAACATTCAAAGGATGACCCTAGAAGTGGCATCATTTTCACCACTGACATCCCATACTCTGTGATCCAATGATGGTCCTAGAGCAGTGTGTTTCATATCATCACACATAAGAGAAGAAAGGAACTAGAGTGGGGCTGAGCTACTTGGTAGGTAAGGTGATTGCTGCCCAAGTGTGAGGACTTGTGCTTGCTCTATAGAATCAGCATTAGAAAGCTCTCATATTCCCTTTATCCCAGCACTGGTATTATCAAACTCAGGGGTGACAGCCTGTGCCCCAACACAGGGTCAGTCACCCAATTTCAATAAGATAATTAAAGGAATTAAATTAATAGTGGAAGCAGAAAAAGTTGTCTTATTCCATGTAACTAATTTGGGAAAAGGACAAAGAAATCCATCAATCCCCATCTGAAGTCCATCTTTGGAGTTCTGAAGTGATACTAAAATTTTAACAGAGCTATAGAGGACCAAGGACATGCAAATCTAAGCAGTTCTGGTCAAGATGCAGTAAAACCCATCACTGACTCATCATTGACTATGCTCCAGTCTCATCCTGTATGGTAGTCCGACAAGTGGTTAGAAATGTTAATCTAAGAGACAAACTCCCCTTCTTGCTGCTACCCCTCTTCCTCCCAACATTAGAGTGCTGGAGAAATTCCTATTTCTTTGGGGTCCATTGCTTTGTTGTCTGGACATCAAATTGACAGATATCATTGTTTCTTTAGAATATCTTCATTTCTACCAGGACAATAATGCTAGGAAGGATCCCAGGGATTCACTGAACAAACAGTCTAGCCAATGGAGTACACTTGGGGCCTGTGAAAATTTCAGCCTCATAAAGAAAGATGAATGGCTCCTGAGAAACAACACTTGGAGTTGTCCTCTGTCCACATACACATGTATGAATGAAAGTATACACAGAAGGAGACAGATAGATAGAGACACAGACAGATCCTGACACTGAAAATAGACAGATATTTAGAAAGAAAACTCAAGATTAAAAGACTGAACCAGAAATTATCTATCTTCACTTTCAAATCGATGTTATTAGATTCATTCAGAAAGAATGGGGGAACTGAAAAGGAGTTTTGCTTAATTTTGGTACATTACTGGAATTTAAAAGCTGAGCCTTAGCGACGGACAACAAATTCTGTCCAGAGCTTTCCTTTAATTCAGTGGAAGAGCTTCATTAGTCTATTTCCCTGACAATGACGCTGCTGTAGGGAGAGGTCAGGCACCATGTTCTGTGCTCCTGGTGCCCCTCCCCATGAACAAAGGCAACTTTAGCACACAGACATAGAGCTGGCTGCACCTTGTGGCCTGTATTGTTAAAAATATCTGTTAATAAATTTCTTACCCTCAAGGGAAATTTAGCTAACACCTTTCTCTTGAAGCTCAGCCATCTTCCATAAAATTGTCTATGGGGAAGCACTTTCTCCTTCCAAATAGGTCTCTCCAACATGGATCCAACCCTTTGCACTGGTTATTTGGAACCACTCATGAGAAGAACTACATCAGCAAGAGGGTCTCTTAGAATGTCACCATCAGCATAAAAGCCACCATGAAGATGACTTCTTATATGAATAATTCATGTGTTTTCTCTATTATTTGTTCAAAGGCTGAAACAGTTCAAGTTGCTAGGACATCAAAGACTCCAACATTCACATAGTCTTTTCATTAATTAGCCTTGAGTGAAACACTAAAGCACATATATCTGAGAGCAATCATTTTTCCTGCTGCAAGCTTTTCATACAAATTTGTAATTTACATTTGAAAATTGCCTAACTTTAATCAGAATGAAAAGTTTAGAATCATAAAGTAAAAGCCTAATTAATTGACCGGGAAAGAATGACACAAACGCTAATGTTCAAAGATTAATATTATGCAAAAGTCTATAGTTTTCTCACTACTAACTCATTTATGTTTACTAATCCACGTGAACATGTTGTTTATTTTCTCAGTGTTGTATGTGTGTTGTCTGTATGTGTTACATGGAATATCCACATACATGTGTGTATGGGTGTACTTATACATGTGTGAATGTGTATGTGGAGGCCAGAGTCTGCAATCTAGTGTCTTCTGCAGTCATTCACTTTACATCTTATTTTTTGAGGCATGGTCTCTCGCTGAACCTGGAGCTCACTCCATCCAGCAAAACCAGTGGGTCACCAAGGCCCAGGGATCCTCCTGTGTCCACACTCTTCCCCAATCAGTATTGGGGGTCAGAAACACGCACTGCCATACCTAGCTTTTAACCTGAGTTGTAGGGATCAAAGGAAAATTAGCATGCATGCAAGGCAAGCTGTTTAACAACTGAAATATCTCCCAGGTATCTTATCTATACTCAGCTGAATTATTTTTCAATTTTATAATCTTGACAAGTGTAGATTCTAAAATGACAAGTTAAAAGTGATTCACTATGCTTCCTTTGTAATTTTATATCAGTTCACTGCCAAATTTGTACAATGTGTTTTGATCATATTCACCCCTCCACCATCTCTTACCAGATCTCCCCTCATCTGTCTGCCCACAAAGCTTTGTATCATTTTTAAAAACATATTCCAGTCAGGTTTGTTCTGCTTTTTGACATGTGGCCTTACTGGATCATAGTGGAGCAAACAGGGAATGCACAACCTTAACAAAATTTGACTCTTCTTCTCCCCAAAGCTATTAGTTACCAATAAGTCATCAGCTAAGGGAAAGACATTGTGCTTACATACCTTTGCTATTCAGAGAGTTTATCTAGATTGAAGTCGTGTGGGTGCTGCCATGAATTCTTATGTGCATCTGTCCTGCTATGGCCAGATTGTTTTTCAGTAGTCTTATACTACTTCTGGCTCTGACAATTTTTTCACTCCCTTGTCTGATATGATTCCTTAGCCTAGGGAAAATGGAGTGAAATACAGATGTCCTATTGAAACTTGGAGAGCATTCTCTGCACTTGGAACAATTGAGGGTTTCTGTGTTACTCAACATTTAATGAAGAAAAAAGTTTCCCTGCTCTCTTGTGATAATAATAAGTCATTGGGAATTGGCTTAACATTGTGGCTATTTAGAAAAATAATAGTAGTAGATTCCCTCCATAGAGCTTATGGACTGTTTAGCCATGGGTTCTTGGTCTGAAAATGTTGTCAAATATGGTTTTATTCCTGTTGAAGGAAAGTTAAATCCATCCATTAAGTAGTTAGTTATTTCTGTAATATTTGCACCACTATTGTACCAGTGGGCATGTCTTTCCAGGCCAGTCACTCTTGTAGCTCACAGAGTTCACAGATGTATAACATTGATAATTACTTTTCTCTTCTTGCAGGATGCCTCATAGCACTATGAAATCTAGCCAATTCAAGAGAAGAATACCTACCTAATGATGGGATAAACAGCTTCCCCCAAGTAGCAGAGCTGTAGTAGATACACACCCATGACGATCTGTTGTCTATTATTTTCTATGGGACAAAAAATAATTCAAAACACTAAAGAAAACCAAGAATCTGTACTCACATCATAACAATAGATAAAACACAAATTTGTCTAACTTAATAATCATTAAGAAAAATATACAATCTAAGATTAAAATTGTCCAAATGTAAATAAGCAAAATTTCAAAATGGTTGCTAACAAGCATATGAAAAATGTTCAACACCAGCTGTTTCTGAAGGAATTCACCTGACATTCAAATTCTGGACAGTATAGTGACAGACTGTGCCCCAGACAGCTCTAAAAAGCTATACTTGGTCACCCAGCTCCTGTAAATAAAAGGACAGCACTAATGGTACAAAGCAGGAAAAGCAGATGTATTCCATGTAGCCATATTGGGAAAAGTGCAAACAGATACAATGTGCCCCCAAGTCCACTTTCTGGATACTAGATGCGGTTTAGGTTTAAGTAGAGGCCAAGAGACATATGCAACCTAGCAGTCTTCAAGGTATGGGTCTGCACATTTTTGACTCATAATTGTGGGTTCTGCAAAATGGTCTGACAATCACCTTGTGGATACCTCAAGTAATTCTAATCTCTTCCCTTTTCCAGAAGACATGTTCAACGTCTAACTGGAGAAAAGAAGGTGGGAGTTATCAACCTTTCCGTTATCACTGGCTGGATTTCCTGTGGGAAATTCCAGTTCCATGGGTTGCTTTGTGTCAGCAATATAACAGCCAAACAGAGGGGCACCAGCGTCCCTTTAGAATATCCTTTCAGGCATTCGGGTTACACTATCAGGAAAAATAGAAATGAAAGTGCTTAATGAGTTTCAGCACCAGCAAGTGTGGGAAGCTTCAAGGCCTCTCGTAAAAGTTGATGGGAATCTAAGCTGGTGTGAAATTTCTGGCGGGCAATTTGGCAATGCCTATTAAAAAGCGAATGCACACAAACTTTGACCCAGCAATCTTATTGCTAGGAATGCATTTTCCATTTCTCCTTGTGTGATATTGCCACTGTAATGTGCAAGAGATGCGCCTTACAGCACTGTGTGTAACAGCAAAAACTAGAAACTATTACATTGTAAATCAATAGACTCTAGGAATTATGGTATATAAATATGATGAAATACTAGTAAAGTGCTCTGACACCCACACACTAGGTTGCCTTCAGTAAAGAACTAACTCTTATAAGCAGAGAACAATATGTGCCAGTGGGTCCTTTTGTTGGATCTCCCCCATTTAATTGAATACATTTGAAAGGTCTTGGGTTTGGGTTCAGTGGGGACACTGAGGCAGACTCATTTTGGCCAGGAGGAGTAGGTTCTCTGCCACATGATTTACAAGTAGCCATAGTCTTTGCTTGCAGTTAGGCTGAGTCAGGGTGACAATAGCAAGAATCTATATATTGATTTGTTGACTATAGGCAAGGTGATTTTCCCCAAGGCTGCATAGCTTCAATCTCACTATTATCTTGTGTGTCAAGGAGAGGAATTATGATTGTGAAGGCTCCACTCTGAGGTGATTAGGGATAAACGTTGTCACTAATGAGTTTTCATTAAAATGTATACATCTAGGAGGGAAAATGGCCACTCTTGCAGAGTATGGCCTTGACATTCAAAGATGTTTACTTTTAAAATGAAGGGTTATTTTTCTTCAATCTCTTTACCAAAAATGGGAGAGAGTAATGAATTGTAATTTGTTTTCATAGATATTCAGATATATCTACTTTATGCTTAATTTTGTTTGACCGATTTTTTTTGCTAATGGAATTGTTGAGACAAAGATAAGTGAGAATGACTAACAGCCTGATCCTTTCAAGATTGGTGGAATACTTATGGAAATGTAGCAGTCCCTGGTGTGACTGGGGCTTCTGCAAAAATCCACTCTTTGCCCAGTTCTGTGTGGTTGAGCTATTGAAGAAATTGTGCTTAACCTCATTGAATGTGAGTTTCTAGTGACTTTCTCAGTCCTTCCAAATGCTGCCTTATGTCCTAACAAGACAAGTTCTTCTACTGGCCTCAAGCACCAAGTGGGTGGCTGTCATGTTCCTTGTCATTAACTCCCCCTTCCTGCGAGTGGGGAATCTAACTATTAGTATTTTACTAATTGGCAGGTTATATGCTTGATGTTGGGGGGCAACACTGAGGTATATGTAAGAAATGAAGTGGAAGAATTATTAATACTTTGGTGACACTGATATTATCATGGTAGAGGCACTCAGCATAGTTGAGGTACAATGTCCTTGATAGACAGCTTGGCAGGGGCACTGATAGGAGATCAGTCCCACATAACAGAGTTGGATAGGTCCTCCTTAGAGATTTCAGACAAAACAGAGATTTTTTTACTCAGGCTGTCCCTGATTTGCTAAGTGGTAGCAAGGAAAGGGTAGTGGAGTCTTTCATTGCTAGAAAAGAATTATGACTCACTGGATTTGGGAGAAATGAGAAAGAGGCACTTGTCTCTTTGAGGTGTACACACTCTATGGCTGGGAAGATGGTTTGCTCCCAGTATCGCTCAGGTGTCCCAGAATCTGGCAATTTGTAAGCTTCTGTGGTGATGTAAGGATATCACCTGCATTCTGTTACTGGGTTAGAGATCCACAAAGAGGCTTTTAGTAGGGGTTTGTCACTTCATTTTTAGAAGAGAGAACCTCTGTGACCTGAGCTGCCATCTCAGGCTTCTGACACTAATACTATTTATTTTCTTATAAATACAAGAAATGCTTTGCCTGTACTTGCTTTTACATACTCCCTTTCTAATCTTATAAATATCTAAATACAAAAGCACAAATAAATAATAATTTTCCATTACTTTTGCCAGTACTGGAAAGGTCATCTTTGGTTCCCCTGCTATTTCACTCCCAGGTTGGTAAAGCAAACCATCCTAGGAATTAAAAGAATGATTAGTGGAGCTTGGTATTAACTTCATGCCTTGTGGGTTTGAAAAGCAAGTACAGCATATATTCCTAATTCCTGTCACTGCTATAGATTAATGATCCAGGCAATAGGAGTCATCATTACTCTACATCCTTTGTCTGAGATTTGCCAGACCCTAGCTCTAAATGACCTGCTGAATAAGACATATTGTTTTTCTATCTTCTTAGAAGAAAAACAATGATGAACAAAAGGCTAGTTGATTTGGAATAAATCATGAAACTTGACGGATAAATATCAGCAGTGAAACAAACGTTAGTATATAAAATGTGTACTTCAATATTTAGCACTAGCAGCTGCCTAGCCATAAAAAGAAATCTGAAAATGTGTTTCCTAAGCTGTGGAAGCACCTTAGAAATCGAACAGGCTTTTGTTGTTCTGCAAAGATAATCATGCTATTAATTTTTTGAAGCAAACTACAAGCCATTCAATCACATCTTGGCATGTTCATGCACGTGTGCCAGTAGGAATATTAGGAACTATTGTCATGATTGCAACCTCTCTATGTTCAAGTTCTGACATGTTGAAACTTTTTAGTGTGTGATTTTGATAGAGAGAGAAAATAATTTAAATGATAATGTGTTCTTTAAATGTGCCTCTTTACCTCAGCTGTGTCTATGGAAAACTCCTCATCCAAGTAGCCTTAAATGCTCAGCACTTATGGGATACCCTCCCCTTCTACTGGAAGTCTTTTGTTTGTTTTTAATAGTAGTGCTTGAAGTATGCAGTAGGTACTTAGAAAATTACCTTATGTATTCATGATTACAGATAATGTACTTTGATTATATTCTCCACAATTATCCTCTTCCCTTCATTAAACCTCTTTCCACATCTCTAAGTGTACACCTCTTACATCTCATGTTTTTGTTAATCGTTTATTTGTGGCCCACTGAATTTTTTTGATTTTTCAAGACATTATTTCTTTGTGTAGCTTTGAAGACAAGGCTGGTCTCGAACTCACAGAGATCTGCCTGCCTCTGCCTCCAGAGTGCTGGAATTAAAGGCATGTGCTACCACCATCTGATATGGCTCACTGCAATTTACACTTGTACAGTAATAACCTACCAGGCAAGATCTGTTCATAGGTCCTGTAATGGCACAACAGTTTGGGAGTAACTCAAAGTTTTCTGCTTAGAAGTAAACCCTGATACATTAGAGGAATTCATGCTTGGTACTGTAAATTTGGTCAGAGCTAATAGGATGGGAGGTAATAGACCCTACTCTTCTATAGCTAGGTGGGCATGGCATCAACTGCTTTCAGGAGGTTTCATGGTGATCAGATTTGTGAGATTCTTGGACTGCTTTTAAGCTTCAGCATCTGTTTATCATGTTCTCATGGTAAGGAATGATCTAGCACAAGCCTTATATTTCTGGTTTAGAGAAGCTACAGCAAAGATTTGTAATGATTTAATCAATATCACAGGGATACTTGAGGGCAAATAACATCCACCTGTATGGTCTACACTTCCAGCTCTATCCAACACTGGCATCATGGCTGACATGACAGCAATGAACATGATCTTCTATCTAAAAGGTAACTTCAGCTGATTGATAATTCAGTCCTCTGACCTATGTTTTCAATAGGCAGAATCTGACACATAAGGTGTGTTTATATAAGGGATGTTTGATTTTAGTGTTATTCTCTCAGGAAAATAAAATTCTTGGACTTGTGCATATGAACACTAAGTCTTACATGGGGTAGCAACAGGAGTAGAATTTCAATGACAAATTTAATGCAGAAAAAGTGATAAAGGGGAAGGATTCACAAAGTATGAAATATGTCATAAAATCTATCATTACCATAATATCCCCATGCCCAGGGCAAGTGGCACTCCACTGCAGCTAAATTTCAGTCTTGGTGTCTCTAACAGCTTTACTGTGCATGTATGATTCCCCCAGACTTGAAGAAAAGTGATTAAGAAAACATATTTCTTTTCACAGAAATGTCCTGAGCATATCCTTCAAGAGATCCATCTTGAACTGTCAAATCATTTCCTGGTTGATAGGAAGTTATGATTCATATCCCATTATATTAAGTGTACCATATTATAAATGAGTCAGAGTTTTCAATATGGGGTTTGTGAGCTATAAGGGAAATTGAAGAAGCCTTTTCCATTGAATCTGAAATGTGTTTTCTGTAAGGAAGGGCGAAAAAAACAGTTTAATCTCATGAAAGGAAACAATAATCATATTTCACTACACATTATGAATTAAGAATTTGAACAAAGAGAAGCAGGCTCACAGATGATACATCAATAATCTTCCCAGAGTGTGTGCATGATGAAGCAGGGAGGACCAGTGACTGCCATTTCCATCACTTCCTGCTGGATGATACACATTGCTTTCTGTATCCAGGGTCAGGATCTGTTATGTAGATGGACACAGTCTCTCCTATAAATTTCTTAAAATAATCTGGGAGAGTAAGGTAGACAATGGAATGATTATGTTTGAATAAATGAGATTCTAAGGTAGATATATTATCTGTCCCTTGACAAACTATTAGAAATAACCATTTCCCACAATAAAAAAAGGCAATAGAGGTTAAGACATCTTTGTGTATAGTACAAACACTAAGGTTGGAACAAATTAAAATACATGTCCAACCACAGTCTGTGTTTACATTTACCAGGTGTAGTTTTTCCTCTGACAGCTTGTCAACTCATCAAGAAGGCTGTTCTCAGCACTTGTGTTATCAGCCTTGTTTGCTTGTTTTGTGAGTTCTAGGCAAGTGTCCATAATCAAAAGGAAATCTCTCATAAAATGAACTCTTCTTTTTCTCTGGATACATATTGATGTATGGCATTACCTGATTGTCCAGTTTTTTAACTATTTACTTTTATTTTGATAGGAATATAGAATACATGCAGATATGACTGTTCAGTGTTTGTCACTATAGTAAGACCACAGCATGAAGCTAAGCAGGACTTTTTCACACTTACACTGAATGAATAAATGAATGATTCATAGTCTCAAGCCATCGCTGTTGACTAACCAGAAACCCCAGGTCCATGGGTGAGCCTATCCACCAGCTTGCAAAGGAAGTATCCCAATGGATTGGTAAACACCCCAGGGTGCCGCAACCTGTGGGACATTCAATGTGGGGACTGGATGGCACCTAGGAGAAAGATGGAGAGCAGGAGATACCAGGAAAGGCTCCAGGACAGGATTCAGATCAAGGCGACAGAAATTTATCCTTTCCAAGGTATATTTAAGGGGCTTGGAGGATGAAGTGACGAAGGGCAACTCCAAGGAAGTTGTCAGGGCAAAAGGTCAATGGGAGAGGTATCCATCTGTGTTGCCTAATAAGCAGGGGAAAAGTTCAGCAGTAGAACCTCCTTTGTTACTAGGTAACCTGACTGTAGGTCCTTACTTTATCTGTCTCAATCTTTCCCTATTGTCCAAGCCTATCTCCTGGCAGACTTGGGGGATTTCCTTTGAGGTAATCTTTAACTGCTAATTAAGCTGCAGCCCTCTTTCTGGAATTTAGCAGAGGTAGCAGGGTGGTTCAAAGTCACCTACTCTCTATGAGTGTTGAGTCATGTCTTTTCTATGAGTATGTGAGGCAGTCGTAGCTGGCTGATGGCCAGAGGCCCTTGACAACTCCCTGTTTTTCAACCAGAGTGAAAGACCACCCCCCCCCATGCAAATACAAGCTAGGGAGGCAAGATCTGCCTCTTGCCTGATCTAAACCTAAAACGGCAGTTTTAGGTAGCAAAGTCTGCTCCCCCCAACAGGCACCCACATGGCCCTTGAGATAGAACAGGCAGAACATCTTGTGGTTCTTTCCAGAAGGCTGGGTGGCCCCACTTCCACGAACCCTCCTAGACTGAAATTTCCCCAGAAAAGCGCCATGTGTGATCCCTTGATAATCTTATGGCTTTTGCCTTTAAAAAGAGCTTGTAATAGCTGCTCAGGGTTTCTCTGCCTCCCGTGGCTCAGGAGCCCTTTGCGCAAACATGGAATAAAATCCTCTTGCTTGTTGCATCTTCTGGTCTGGAGTCTGAGTCTGTGGGGCATCCACTTGGATACGTTGGAATCCCCACATTTTGGGGGTCCAACATTTTGGGGGCCCTCCCAGACTCAATTCCAGGACTGGCTAGAGGTAAGAGCGAGCTTGCCCCTTTGTCTTGCTGCCTGAATTTGTGCCTGTACAGGACTTGTAAAATTTGTTGGATCATTGGGGGAGGCTGACGCTCCCTGAAACCCCTGATCCTGCTCTGGAGTACCCCTCCAGGGTAGTCTGGGGAAAGGAGAGAGACCAGCTTTCTCTCCTCCCCAGAGAGTCAGGCTTCAGCCAGCCACTTCCCTCTCGGTATATACTTTCGGTTTTCTGCCACATGGCAACTGCACGATTAACTGTCTGCCTGTTAATCGTTCTGTATCTTGTCCACTTCTTTTTTTGTTACCGAACCCATGGCTCAACAAACAACTACCCCCTTAAGTTTCACTTTAGATCACTGAAAAGAGGTCGTGAATGGAGCATGCAACAAGTCAGTAGAAGTGCACAAGCAGAATGGTGGACTTCCTGCTCCTTGGAATAGCCCACCTTTGAGGTTGGCTGGCCGAAGGATGGAAATTTTAACCGTGATACTATCTTTCAGGTTAAAGCGCGGGTCTTCCAACCCAGACCCCAGGGTCATCAGGACCAGGTACCCTATATTGGCACCTGGGAAAGCCTCCCTAAGGACCCCCCTGCCTGGGTTAAGCCTTTCCTCACCCCGCCCAGTACACAAACCCCCAAGCCTGTTCCTGGGCCATCCACCACCCCTCTCATACCCCTCCCCTCCATGCCTCCCACTGAAGCTGAATCCTCTGCTAGCTCTCCCTCTGCATCTCCCGCTGAATCCCCCCCCTAGTTCTTCCCTCTATCCCCTACTTGAGAAACCAAAACCCACCAGTCCTTCCAGAGATCTCTTACTCCTTGAACCTCCTCTCCCTTACCTGCAACCTCCTCCTCCCTCTCCCCAGGATCCCCCGTTGCCAGCTGGATTCCCTAGAGAACTTGCACTCTCCTCTCCCAACTCTACTGAAACAAATGAGGAAGCACTCTCTGCACCTTCCCCAACATCTAGCCGCCAGTGCTTCCGAAGGGAGAGAGCCAGAGGTTCCAAGAGTGTATGAACATCACAAGCCTTTCCCCTTAGATTAGTAGCCAGCCAGTTGCAATACTGGCCTTTCTCGGCCTCTGATTTATATAACTGGAAGACCCACAACCCCTCTTTTACCCAGGATCCCCAAGCCCTGACCAACTTAAGTGAATCTATTTTAATTACTCATCAACCCACCTGGGATGATTGTCAGCAACTCTTACAGGTCCTCCTCACCACCAAAGAAAAACAGCATGTCATCCTTGCAGCACAATAAAACGTCCTTGGGGCAGATGGCAGACCGACCCAGCTGCCTAATGAAATCAAGGAAGTGTTCCCGTTGACCGGCCTGAACTGGGATTACAATACACTTGCTGGTAGGGAGCGACTCTGTTTCTAGTGCCAGACTCTTTTAGCAGGTCTAAAAGGGGGTGGAAAGCGCCCAACAAATTTAGCTAAGGTACGTTCAATAGTTCAGGGAAAGGAAGAAATGCTGACGGGGTTCCTCAAACGCTTAATGGAGGTTTACAGTATATACAATGTGTTTGACCCCCAAACTGGGGAGCGAGAGCCCGAAATAATCATGGCGTTCATTGGGCAGTCTGCACCCAACATCCTCAATAAGCTACAGCGGCTGAAGGGGCTGCAAGGCTACACTCTACAGGATTTAGTAAGAGAGGCAAAGAGAATTTTTAACAAGAGAGAGACCCCGGAGGAAAAGGAAGAAAGGCTAAGGAAGGAACAGGAAGAAAGAGATGATAAAAGAGATAAAAAAAAACGCCAAAAGAATTAACAAGAATCTTGGCCACCGTAGTACAGAGTGCAGGGCCAAACAGGGCAGGACAAAATAGGGACCTGGGAGACAGGAGAAGAACCCGAGTGGATCGAGACCAGTGTGCATATTGCAAAGAACAAGGCCACTGGCTCAAAGATTGCCCGAAGAGGCCCCACGACCCCAAATGAAAACCCATTCCTGTTCTGTCACTGTAGGAATAGGCAAGTCAAGGCCAGGTGCCCCCCCACCCAGATAGGAGATAGGAGGGCAGCCAGTAACCTTCCTGGTCGACACAGGAGACCAACACTCAGTCCTAAGCACAACCAGGGGACCCTTAAGTTCTAAAACCTCTTGGGTCCAAGGGGCTACCAGAGGAAAATTTTACCGATGTACTACCGAACAAAAAGTCAATTTGAGCACTGGACAGATGACTCATTCATTTCTGCTTGTCCCAGACTGCCCCTACCCCCTATTGGGTAGAGACCTCCTTTCAAAAGTTGGAGCCCAGATCCATTTCCACAAGGATGGGGCTTCAGTCACTGGCTCAGGAGGGCAATCACTCCAGGTACTAACTTTAAACCTGGAAGATGAATACTGGCTGCATGAGTATCCTCAGACTAATACACTTCCATTGGACCCCAAAAGGCTGACAGACTTCCCTCAGGCCTGGGCAGAAACAGCCGGAATAGGGTTGGCTGTCAGCCAGCCACCCCTGATTATAGACTTAAAACCATCTGCCTCCCCCGTGACAATTCAACAATACCCTATGAGCAAGGAAGCTAGGGAAGGCATTCGGGCACACATCCAAAGGTTATTACAGTTGAGCATCTTAAAACCCTGCCGCTCACCCTGGAACACTCCCCTCCTTCCGGTAAAGAAACCAGGCACTGGGGACTACAGGCCAGTACAAGACCTAGGAGAGGTCAACAAGAGAACAGAGGACATATACCCCACGGTACCCAACCCCTACAACTTACTCAGCACACTCCCTCCCGGCTGCTCATGGTACACTGTCCTAGACCTCAAGGACGCATTCTTCTCTTTAAGAGCCAGGCCATGTTTGCATTCGAATGGAAGGACCCGATACAGGATTCTTGGGACAACTCACCTGGACTCGACTGACACAAAATTCACCCACCCTGTTCGATGAGGTCTTGCACCCAGATCTGGAAGACTTTCAGGTCCATCATCCTAATTTGACCCTCCTCCTATAGGTGGATGATCTACTCCTGGCAACTGGATCAGAGCAAGACTGTCTAAAAGGTACAGGGGCCCTGTTATAAAGACTGGGGGAGCTGGAATACAGAGACTCTGCAAAAAAAAAAACCCAAATATGTAAAAAGCAGGTCACCTACCTGGGGTACCTCTTAGAAGATGCTCAGAGCTGGCTCATAGCGGGGCGCAAGCAGGCTGTTGCTCTGATCCCGCCTCCCACTACTGCCTGTGAAGTACGGGAGTTCTTAGGCAGTGCAGGCTTCTGCCGGCTATGGATTCCTGGATTCGAGGAGCTTGCAGAACCCCTCTATCCTCTCACCAAGGCAAATGTCCCATTTAAATGGGGAGACGAACAGCAGCTTGCCTTCAACAAGTTTAAGCAAGCCCTCCTGCCCTCCTGTCAGCTCCGGCCTTGAGCCCGACAGACTTGAATAAACCCTTCACCTTGTATGTTGGGGAAGTCTTATGTCAATAAAGCACTGTTGAGCCAAAAGGGAACCAAGATAGGAGGGACTAGGAGTCCAGGAGGACTCTGGGAAGGAGAAACATAGGAGAGTCGAGATGTAACGCCATGGGATAGGAAGCTCGGAAACTTCCTATCCAGTAAGAGACATACTTAGATTAACAATTATGGGATAATTACTTAAGTCAGAGCTAGCTAGTAAGAAACAAGCAAGGCCAACAGCTTCATAATTAATATAGCCTCCTGTGTGTTTATTTGGGACTGATGCGGCTCTAGAACCAGGCTGGAGGGAAGGCTCCTCTCAAGGAAAAAGCTCCTCTTTACATTTGTATGTAGATGAGCAGCAAGGAATAGCGAAGGGGGTTCTGACTTAAAAGCTTGGACCATGGAAGAGGCCAGTGGCCTACTTCTCAAGGAAACTGGTCAACGTGGCTATTGGATGGCCCCCATGTCTACACATAATAGCGGCGATAGCAACCTTAGTAAAAGACTCAGACAAATTGATGTTGGGGTAGCCCCTCACTGTGATAGCTCCTCATGCTTAGAGGCAATTGTTCCAGCAACAGCCGGATAAATGGCTTTCAAGTGCCTGGGTGACCCATTACCAAGCCCTGCTGCTCAATCTGGAGCGAGTACGGTTTGGAGTGTCCACCTTCCTAAACCCACCTACCCTGCTCCCTGAAACTGTACAGGAGGCTAGGATGACACCTCATGACTGTCATCAGATCCTGGCTAAAACCCATGGCACAAGGGAAGACTTAACTGATCAACCATTACCAGATGCTGAATACACCTGGTAATGGGAGGAGCTTTCTGGACAACGGTGAGTGAAGGGCAGGGGCAGCGGTAGTGGATGGACTTGCCACGATATGGGCCAGCGAATTACCTCCAGGGACCTCAGCTCAAAGGGCCGAGCTCATAGTCCTGACTCAGGCGCTGAAAAAGGCACAAGGCAAAAAGTTCAATATTTACACTGACAGCCGGTACGCTTTTGCCACGGCCCATGTGCATGGGGAAATATACAGAAGAAGGGACCTCCTGAACTCGGTGGGCAAAGAGATCAAAAACAAGCCTGAGATACTGGGCCTTCTACATGCACTCTCCTTGCCCAAGAAGCTGAGCATAATCTATTGCCCAGGGTATCAACAGGGGAAGGATCCCATAGCCAGGGGGAACAGAATGGCTGATGAGGTCACAAAAGCAGCTCCACTGAGCTCACCCATACTCAACCTAGAGACAGAGGCGGCCCTGCCTGAACAGCCCCCTTTCCCCTACTCAGACGAAGATCTGGAGACTGTCCAAAAACTTGGGGTGAACTACGATAAAGAGAGAGGGGTTTGGAGGTACCTAGGAAAGACAGTCTTATCCCATAGAGTGGCCCATGAATTGGTGACTCATCTACAGAGATGGATGCATCTAGGACATAAAAAGCTTAAGACCCTCCTCCAGAAGGAAGAACAGACCTACTTTATTGCCAGGTTGAGCTCTTTAATCCAAGAAGTGACTGAGTCTTATGTCCCATGTGCTAAGGTGAAGGAAGGACATCTCCAGCTGCCAGAAGGGACAAGAATAAGAGGAGAATGGCCTGGAGTCAATTGGGAAATTGACTTCACCAAGATCAAGCAGGACAGGTATGGAAACAAGTATCTCTTAGTCTTTATAGACACCTTCTCCGGATGGACCCAGGCATTCCCTACCAAGAGGGAAATGGCCCAAGTGGTGGTCACGAAGATACTTGAAGACATCTTCCCTCAGTTTGGCCTGCCCAAGATAATTGGGTCTGATAATGGCCCAGCCTTCGTCTCCCAGGTGAGTCAGATGGTGGCCAAGGTACTGGGGATTGATTGGAAGTTACATTGTGCTTACAGATCCCAGAGTTCAGGGCAGGTAGAAAGAATAAATAGAATGATTAAAGAGACCTTAACTAAATTAGCGATGGAGACTGGCACTAGAGACTGGTTCCAAGTTCTTCCCATGGCTTTCTTTCAGGTACGAAACACTCCCTCCAACTATGGACTAACCCCATACAAAATCCTCTATAGGGGACCCCCTCCTGTGATAGGCTTCCTTGACCCTGCTGTTGACTCTTTTACCAACATCCCTGCCTTTCAGGCATGAATAAGGGCACTCCAAATCATTCAGAACCAGATCTGGAAACCCCTGGCTGCAGTCTATCAGGCAGGAAGCCTGGCGGCTCCTCACGCCTACCAGATTGGTGATAACGTCTATGTTAGGAGACATCAGACTGAAACTCTCGAACCTCCCTGGAAGGGACCCTACACCGTGTTGCTAACCACTCCCGCAGCTCTCAAAGTGGATGGGATTGCTGCCTGGATCCATGCCTCAAACATCAAATGAGGACCACCTCAGGACAGCAGCACCCCAGATGAGCCAGACAGATGGAAACTACAATGCACTCAAAACCCACTCAAGATATGACTTTCAAAAACTGCTTGACACTTTGCTTACTCCTAAGCCTCGCAGCCTTAAACGACGGCAATCCCCATGCCCCTCAACAGTTGACCTGGTAGATATACTCCCAAACAGGAGAAGTAGTCTGGTCCATTACTAAGAAAGTGCCACCAGGCACCTGGTGGCCCACTCTCACCCCAGACTTCTGTCAGTTGGCCGCTTGGTTAGATACCTGGGACCTTCCCATGACAGGGGCTCATGAAATCTGAAAGACAATTAACACCGTCCTACCACCCATAGGGAAGGCTTGGCCACAGGTCTGAGGTGATCCTAGAGCTAGATGTCTTCTGGTGCAGTTGGACTTCTATGTCTGCCCCAGACAAGGGCAGCTTCGGGGCTCAGGATGCCGGGGTTATGAGGCATACTTCTGCACCAAAGGGGGATGTGAGACCATGGGGAATGTGTACTGGAAGCCCTGCTCATCCTGGGATTTGATTGATGTGCATCGTAATTAATCCCGCCCCCCTTGGGTTGTTACGGCTGTGACCACACTTCTAGATGGAGTCCCTGGTCTTGCACCACCACCATATGTCTCCCCCTCGCAATGACCTTCACATCTCAGGGTAAGCGAGATTACACCCAATGGTTGAGGGGAAATACCTGGGGGCTGAGATGGCGCATGCCATGGGAGGATAGAGGGGTGACCTTCAATATACGCCTACAGATAGATATCCATGCCCCCAAAGTCATAGGGCCCAATCCAGTTTTGGGGGAACAAGGGGCTCCCAGGGCTGAGAACAGCTATGCAACGTCCCTGGTTAGAACTCCTCCGACCGCAGTCTCCCTCCCCACCTCCAGGAGGCATTCCTCCCTGACAGCAGTTCCCTCCACTGGGCAGAGGCTATTCAATCTAGTACAAGGAGCCTTCTTTGCCCTCAATCGTACCAGACCAGATATCACTAACCCTTACTGGTTGTGCCTGACCTCAGCACCCCCTTACTATGAGGAGTTGCTACCATAGGGAACTACAAAAACACCACTGACGCCAGTCAATGCAACTGTGAGGCCGGCCACAAGTTAACTCTTACCCAAGTGACAGGAGAAGGAACTTGCCTGGGAATGGTCCCTTCCTCACACTTGCATCTCTGCAACCACACTGAGCCTAGCCCCAACTATACCTCCTGCCTGCTACCTGAACCTGGTCTTTGGTGGACATGCACTACAGAACTACCCCCTGTATCTCGCCCCAGGCCCTCAACCATCCCACGGACTTCTGTGTCTTAGTCTGATTGTTCCCCAGAATCTTCTACTATCCTGCCAATCACCTTGAACAAACCTGTGAGGGACACACCAATCGGGTCCTAAGGGAACCCGCATCACTAACCTTGACTGTACTCCTGGGAATAGGACTGGCAGCAGGAGTTGGTACAGGAACAGCAGCTCTACTTCAAGGCCCCCAACAGTACCATGAGCTAAGAATATCTATGACTGAGGATTTAGAGGCCCTAGAAAAGTCTGTTACCAGGTTAGAAAAGTCTTTAGTCTTGCTGGCCAAGGTTACTCTACAAAATTGCAGGAGGCTCGATCTCCTTTTTCTGAAAGAAGGAGGACTGTGTGCAGCCTTGAGGGAAGAGTGCTGTTTTTATGTGAACCACTCAGGAGTCATTAGGGATTCCATGGTTAAGCTTAGGGAGAGTCTCAGCCAATGACAATGGGAGAGGGAGACCCAGCAGGGATGGTTTGAGGGATGGTTTAAAAAGTTTCCATGGATGACCACCCTTGTCTCAACAATCCTGGGACCACTGATCATCCTCCTGTTACTGCTGACCTTTTGTCCCTATATCCTCAACCGGCTGCTCCAGTTTAACTGTGAGAGGTTGTCCATTATACAAGTCTTGGTACTCAACCAACAGTACCAGGCACTCAAGACCATTGAGGTTCCCTAGATTTTAGGATTAAAATCTATACAGAAGAAAAGGAGGGAATGAAAGACACCCCCCCACTCAAATACAAGCTAGGGAGGCAAGATCTGCCTCTTGCCTGATCTAAACCTAAAACGGCAGTTTTAGGTAGCAAAGTCTGCTCCCCCCAACAGGCACCCACATGGCCCTTGAGATAGAACAGGCAGAACATCTTGTGGTTCTTTCCAGAAGGCCGGGTGGCCCCACTTCCCCGAACCCTCCTAACCTGAAATTTCCCCAGAAAAGCGCCATGTGTGACCCCTTGATAATCTTTTGGCTTTTGCCTTTAAAAAGAGCTTGTAATAGCTGCTCAGGGCTTCTCTGCCTCCCGTGGCTCAGGAGCCCGTTTGCGCAAGCGTGGAGTAAAATCCTTTTGCTTGTTGCATCTTCTGGTCTGGAGTCTGAGTCTGTAGGGCATCCACCTGGATACGTTGGAATCCCCACATTTTGGGGGGTCCAACAAGAGTTACTTGAAAGCCACGAGAAAGATGGAGCCTGTCTTAGGAATCGATCTAAGGGGCTTTCACCTTACCCGTTTTTGGATCACTTTGCCAGCCATCAAAGCTCCTGACTTAGGAGGTGAAAGCATCAGAAACTAGTTCTTCATTGGTCAG